TAATGTCTCATGGTGAACACAGTTGAAGGCCTTGGAAAGGTTACAAAATATACCCAAAGCATCCTCAGAATTCTCCCATGCACAAAAAATATGTTTAATGAGCTCAACTTCAGCGTCAGTTGTCGAGCGACCCCTTGTAAAACCGAATTTATTTTTATGTAGCAATTTATTAAAGAAACTTAACATCTGATCTAAAATATTTTTTTCAAATATATATATATATATATATATATATATATATATATATATATATATATATATATATATATATATATGTATATTATCTATGTACTTATATACCATTCTGTATTTCTATTTTATGGCTTTAATAAAATTAATGTTATTTTTGTCGCCAAACCACACACGTTTTTATTGTTTTCTTGCAATCCTGTCCATCTGTCTGGTTGTCTGGAAAAGATCGCTCTTAGCGATAAGACCACCCATTGTACCACATTTGCTTTTCTCATTTTTTGTTAATATTTGTTATTTTTTGGCGTACAATTAAGTGTTATCCATGCTTCTCTGTGAATTTTCTAAAAAATTATACATACGGCTACGAATATTTCAATTGTTAGAAATAATAATAAAAATTATAAAAGTCATCGAAAAAGCCAAAAATATATAAGAGTAAGTAATTTTTAAAGGGTGGTAGTAATTATTATTTAAGATTACCATTAACTGTCAGTCACATATTGTTGTGTCGGAAATTTTAATTTTCCCCATCTGTAAAGATATTTAATAAAAGTTGATTTAAAATTGATCGTATCTTTCACTATCTAAATACATAAGTTTACATTATATATAACTACTATGTATACTTCAACTCTCACGTACAGAGAGTGTAACCGCTGTGGTATAGGTGATTAGGTGAGCACACACGAGACAATGCTGGCGTCCGTACATGTACTGACTTAAATAAAAACTTTACACTAAAATGTCTACGCGTACATAATGTGTGTTCGGTGTAAACTGAACATCTTCCCGCACAGCAAGGGAGATATAATAAAAATACATAAAAAAATGTAAAATGATTTGAGAAAAGTTATGTATAAAAATTATTCTTCATCGCGTTTAAAAATGAGGGTTCGTAATATAGGAGTATATAAAAATATAAATATGAATATAAAAATATAAATATAATAAAAATGAGTGTTGAACGCGTTCGGGACCGCGGGTGAGGACGCACGCTAGGCGCTGGCTGCGACGGGTTTCGTTCTCGGGGCGGGCACTGCAGTGGCCACAGGAGCGGAGCTTACGCCTTCCGTAGTTATGTTATCGAGGCTAATATTTGAAGTGATAGTCGTGTTTCTTCTTTGTCGTAGTCGTTTGCAGACAAGGCATATAGCTGCTATCACAGCTACTCTCACCAGGATGTAAATCGCGGCGTAATGATGTATGTCATGGAATGTTATGTTTTCAACGATCACATTTTGGGACTTCAGGTTTTTGTTGTTTTCGTTCAAGGTGGTTAGGTTGCCTTGGAAACTGTCGGCATCTTTTTCCAACTCTCCTACTTCTGGGATAGAGAGCTTGGTAATTTGGTTAATAGCAGCGATTTCAGGTGTCTAAATTTCGGGTCCGGTTTTCAATTCACTCGTAAATATTTTGTGAGTATAGATTGATAATTCTTCACTTTTGACTGAGCAACCGGGTTACAGCGCGATAACCCCAGCGTCTCTCAGCCGTTCCACGGTAACTTGATCCCCGCAAAAAAACTCCTACGTTGCATTGGTATGTTTTTGTACTTCCACACAAAATCCAGCCGTGTCGAGTCTGTTGGACAATCGGCACAGATTGATCTTCTTCTCTGTATATTCCAGGTAATATAATGTTCGAATATATGTCAGCACCCAGAAGAAGATCCAGCGGTCTGCTAATATTTAAGTCTGGGTCAGCTAGTTGTATATTGTTCAAGAATGACCACGAAGGTTTAGCAAATGTTGAATTTGGTAATTGTTTGATAAGATTTTGCATGATAAATACTGACGTGTCAAAGAAGTAGTTGTCGTCCATTGACGAGCATGTTTAGTGCAGTACTCTTTTATAGCTATTAGGTTTAACACCAACTCCAAAAATACTACCTTTGCAGTTTCATCTAGGAAGTGCTAGTCACTGGGCAGCATTCTCAGATATTATCGAGACTTGTGAACCCTGATCAATAAGGGTGCGCATGATTTTATAAGTACCATCTGCGGCCCGCACTTTGAGCATCGCTGTCGCTAATAAAATTTCCGTCACATCGTTATTTTGTTGAGTAACGTTGGAGTTACTTATGTTGACGCGATTATTTTCAGCTTCTGACGACATCGACGACTTGTTTTTCACATTCGCATTGTTTTACGGCTTGTTTGAATATGACCGGAAGGCGTCATGTAACATGGTGTTGCATCGTTGCATTCACGACATCACTTCTCAGAAATGCACGCTTTACCTTGGTGACTAAAAAGACAGTTTTGGCAAACATTTAATTTTGTTACTGTTATTTGTTTTGTTAATTGTTATGTTAATTGTTTTGTTTTCTCAAATTTCTCGAATAATCTGGGGAATTCCGTCATATATCCAAATACTACCGCTACTGTTGCAGCCTATTAATGACCACTGTTGAACATAAGCCGTTTTTTTAATAATTTTAAGTTCTTATCAGGAAGGTGCTGTTGCCCATCACCTGTTTCAATTTCCCTCTGTCGCCACTTACGACACCCTCGGGACAATATGTGATAGTAGATATTCTTACACCGCCACTACACGGTCTATCCAAACACTAAAAATGATTAAAAATATTTATTATCAGTCTAGAATATTCAAGTTTATAAATATTCTACATTATTTTAATGCTCAAAACTATTCAAAAATGATTTTAGACAGAATTGAGTAAAAGAGAATAATCTATAAATTTCAATTCTGGAATATAAATAACCTCGAACTCATGCAGAGAGAGAGAGAGAGAGAGAGAGAGAGAAAATCGAGAAAGAGTGCAGTAAACTAAAAGAAGTCAAAGTGAATAACAAAGAACAATGTCTAACGAAAATATGCGGACTAGAAAGAGATATATTAGACGTCATCCAGGGGCGTAGCTACCGCCGTATCAGCCGTATCAATGATACGGGGCCCCCGGGCTACAGGGGCCCCGAACGTATGTAAGCAAAAATTCTAAGGACTTGTATGGGACAGGATGTTGGTTTGAATTGTTTGGATAGGTTAGTTCCTAGGAGTATTAATTGTAAATAATAACTTATAATCAATATATAATTATTTTAATTCAATGCAAGAGTTTTTGTTCCTTTTGTGAAAAATCTTTACCCTTCATTTGGGCCCCCCGACAAATTTTGATACAGGGCCCCAAGGCACGCTACTCCACTGATGACGTCATCAATCAGCTGATCGAAGGGAACAAGAAAATGAACGAAGTAAAGTAAAAATGGCAACAATACACCAAAAATGAGTAACAAACGAGAGTTTAGAACTTCAAGCGTTTAATTATGATCCCAAGGAAAAGTACGGTAACATCCACGTATTGTTATCGGAAAAATAAATACGGTATGTAAATATTGCAACTCAAATTGGAAAAGAGTGAAACTGCTGGTATGTGTTGTATGATTGGTAAAGTAAAATTACCATCATTACAAATACCACCACCCCAGCTTTTTACTTATATGAAAGAGCGATACCAGAAATAAAATATTTTCTACAAAATATACGTCGATACAATTGTTACTTTGAAATTACTTCTTTCGGGGCTACAACAATATGTAATAAAGGTAATTTAAGTGCAGTTTTCAAAATCCAAGGACAACTCTATCACTGAATAGGCTCACTAATGTCATAACCAGATGAAACACCAAAATTCCTTCAAGTATATTTCATTTGAAATGCACAGCTTGAAATAGATCAGCGTTGCACTCACATTCAGTGGCTAAAGAAATATATTATTCAAGAATTACAACGTTTACTTCACAAACACAATCAACTGATTAATGTGTTTAAAACTTCTCTAGAACAAATGTTGCAGACAACTATAAGATCGTCATTCGGGTGGACATAAGACCAGCTAGTGAACACGAACGAAGATTCAATGCACCTCTAGTGAATGAAGTTGCAAGTAGTAATCGTCATATCATTGTTCACCGCCGAAGTAACCAACTGCAACATATGACTAAAACACATTGCAGTTACGATGAGCTGTATTATCCGGTTATATTTTAGCAAGGTGAAGACGATTATCACTTTAACATCCAACATTGTAAACAAAAATTTATAAATATAATCGTTTAAAAAACTGTAAATATTATGCATATATTCAGTAAGACATAATTTTTCTACTTAAACAAATTATTTTCGAATTTGATATATAATTATTTCAATAAGTTAATTTAAGCAGTGGATTTCTTATACATTTTAAGCAACGTACATTTAATGGTACAACGTTTTGTGTACATATATAAAATATAAAAAACTGATTTTATAGCCATTAAGTGTGCGGTGTATTTTGACCCGGGCAACGCCGAGTTTCGCTGCTAGTATGAACTATTTTGCCTATTATATTTGTAATACATTAAATCCATAAGAGAAAATCTATTAAAACGAAGATCCCGAATAAAATGAAGACATGGCTTAAAAAGTAAGCATCCAAGCCAAAATCTTAATTAAAAAGTTGTGAATTGACTATGATAAATGACAATATGACATGACAATGACAGTTGACGTTGCGATTGTTGATGTTGTGCTTGTGTTGTATTGTATTGTTTGCACTAGATTTTTTATTTGTACAATTGTACGATATTCTAAAGTACATGTTTATTTCTGTTTTTCTTTAGTGTTTATATTTTACTCTCAGTTAAATAGTTATCATTACGCACATTAAAATAACAATTATTAAACTATTCTGAAACATGAGGGGAATAATATCTAACGACATTAATATTTACTAAATCATTTTGCAAATATGTTTAGAATTATAGTTTCGATTCCGCTGTGATAATATTTATTTAAGACTTAGTAAGATGACAAGCAGCAATATAGGAACTGTATACTATGAAGATATTCCACCAGGAACACTTAATGAAGATGAATTTATATGCACGGAAAAAATTGTTCCAAGAAAAATTAAACCCCAAAATATTGTTATAAGACTGATGGACAGAGAAATTTATGGTTCTAGAAAGCCAGGATCTCATTTTCATGTTGTCAGAGAGTTCTATCAGAATGTGTTTCCTAATTTAACAATAGTAAATGTAGAGAAACCACCATGTTTTTTACGAAAATTTAGTCCAGATGGCAAACATTTTATAGCGTTTTCTGCAGATCAAACGTCTCTTGAGGTAATTATTTTAGTTATCTTTTTAATTGAAGACTTCTGCTCTAATGACATGTGTAATGTTGATGAGATGTCAAACGTGTCCCGTGTTCTTACCATCCTATTCCCTATTTCTACCACCATCATACCATACCCACTGTTGAGTTGCCCAGTTCTGGTTTGAAGAATATAAGTCATGTTATCTTAGTCCATAGGAGTGTCAACACGTTTATTGTTTAAAGTTGATTTTATGTAATAGTGGGGTGCAGTACTCTGCAGTTCCATGTTTAAGTACATATTTTGTATACAGGATAGAATTAAATATAATTCAAGCCACCTTAACTCCTTGAAGAATCTTAGTAAGTTTTTACTTCCAATAACTTTGAGGAGCAACCTTAGTGATCCGAAATACTTAGCTCTGTAGCTGGTAAGCCCTGTACAGTTACCACCGAATAAATAATAGTTAAAAGAACAGAAGAATCACTCTCTGACAGCAAACTTGCGAGTTTAAACTTAGTTACAACATTGCTAATGTTCAGAATACTTTGCATGCCTTGGAAGTGATCTTCGTGAAATTAACCTACTGTTTATTTCGAAGGAAAAAAAATTATATGGCGCCCATATTAAATCAAAATGCACCTTGTGTCCGCATGCGAGTGTCCGTATCACTTAGCCCTTTATGACCGCTTCTACTGTAGGGTTGGGTTGTGAGAAAACAAATTGAATTCTTTGATATTAGTTTGTATATAGTAGAACACATCAAAGTGTTATGCAATGTATTAGTATTTCTTTTATTTATATTTTATTTTGTTAAAAAAAATGTTACCCCCACACTAGGATTTTCTCCTGTATCGTGGAGGCAGTTAACAAACATAAATTGCACAAGGACAAACAAAGACCTGGAACAATTATTTGTAGGCCATACAAATACTTGTTCCGTACGGGATTCGAACCCACGGCCCCAGTGTTGCAACTCGTTGCTAAGCCACAGAGCCATCAATTTGGTGATAATAAAAGCTTTATTGTTTAATATGAGGAAGGTTAATATGCAAGATCGAGGAAAATTAAGATTATAACAATGTGAACGTCTTTGAAACTCAGATAATTTACCTACTTACCATTTTTAGCAGACTTCAAAAAAAAGAGAAGGTACTCAATTTGACTATTTTATTTTATGTGTGTTACCACAGAACTTTTTTCTAGGTAAATTGATTTTGATGATTCAATTTTTATTTGAAAGCTGGTGCTTATAATTTATACATCCCATATAAATTTGATGAAGATCTGACCAGTGGTTTTGATCCTTAAAAATGCGTATTAGTATTGAAGTCGGTTGTATAAAATTTTTAATTTCATTAGTTGTCTCTCTTCCTCACTTTTTAAAAAACATTACCTACACTAGGATTTTCTCCTGTATTGCAGGGACAGTTTACATACATAGAACAGACCCAGAACAATTACTATTTGTCATCATTGCAGCTTTTCATAAGTCCACTGCTGAACATAGGCCTCCCCCAAGGAATGCCACAAAGCACGATCCTGAGCCACCTGCATCCGTCAACTTCCTGTATGTGTTACCAGGTTGTCACTCCATCTAGTGGGGACGCACTACATTTTCCCTGCCTGTACGAGGCTGCCACTCAAGAACCTTTCGTCTTTGTCGGTTCTTCGAGCTATATGGCCCATTGCCACTTCAGCTTACTAATCCATTAGGCTATGTCAGTCATATCGGTTCTGCTGCGGATATCCTCATTTCTAAGTTTATCACTCAGAGAAACTCCGAGCATAGCCCTCTCCATAGCTCGCTGAGCAACCTTGAGCTTCCTCATCTGGCCAGCAGTGAAGGATTACTATTTGTAGGCCATACAAATACTTGTTCCGTCTGAAATTCGAACCAGCGGCTCTTAGCGCTGCAACTCATTACTATGACATGGAGCCGTTACTTGTCTGTTTCCCGTTTTTTGCTATTTAGAAACATGCGACAAGCAACTTCAATATTAATGAAAGAGTAGCAATGAGAAGTGTTGCTACTTTCAATCTTTTTTTTATCGAGCAAGTATTAAACAAATAACCAGTAATACTAGTACTGGTAGGTCTTCTTACACTGATCGAATTTTAAGGTCTTTGACATTATATGCGAAAAATTGAAAACTGCGAACCACTACTGGTCGGGTCACTAATCAAATAGTAAATCTGTAACTATGGTGTCAGTAACTAAGTACCTAATTATCTAGATCTACTATAAATAATAATATATTACCTTTCAGTATCCTTAGGAACAATAAAGAATGAAAAGTCGACATTCCTATTGTTATTTAAGCACCCGTATACTATGCAGTTTCTTTTGGCTTTTTGAGATGCCATACTTGAATAAAAACTCAAAATTAAATATCAAAAGTGCCTAGAAACACTTATTAGAGAAAAATAATTTTTATGTTAATGTAAGGCGCGCGTCAGCTCGAGCGGGCGCGTTACAACTTCACGAAATTAGCCCCGCATACGGGGCCGCGCAGCGTAGATATATTTTCATGTCTAAAGCGCGGACTGAGACAGGCCTGCAGTCACATAGATGTGAACTACCATTTCCTCGTGCTCAAGGGGGTTTACACAAAAGACTATCTGTCATACTCATATTTATTATGATCATATTTACATAATAAATAATGTAATAGTAGTCTAAAAAAAGAAACAAATAAACTGAATACTCTTTAGAGCGAAATACCAAAAATTTATGAACTAAACACTTAAAAGGTTCAGTACCAAAAATATATAAAAATATGAGTTAATATAGCAGCTAATCTGAAAAGATTGAGAAAAGAAAACAAACAAAAAACTAGTGCTTACCTGTTTCTGATGTGGTTAGATCACAATACTGAGGCAAACATTTTTAAAATTGGATTATGTATAGTAAACATAATAGATATATAAAATCACTGAAATGTACGTAAGTAGTGGAATTAAATAAAAGACTACCCCAGGAGGGTACCAGCACCCCTGGAGAATCCCTCGCTGAGCATCCACGACCAAACTACTTCACTCCTGAGCGTGGGTGCTCAGGCTGCCCCGCGTATTCTGGGGGGGGGGGGGGGGGGGGGCAAGCGGAGCAATACAACCAAGGCGACCCCTGTCACGCTATCCGTGAATTTTTGCGGTTTAAAAAGAGCGGTTAATTTCGATTAATTACCGGTAAATTTATCGCTCCTACAATTACCGGTTAAATAATTAACCGGTTTTTATTAAACCTAAACAATAAAGGTTACCGGTTACTTAATGGTTTTGACACCCAAATTAACCGGTTAATTCCGTAAAACGTAAAGGCAGCTATGAATAGGACAGGTAGATTGACGATGCGGTTGAGGCTTATGCGGCATCGCCGCATGCGCACCTCGCCTTTAAGCGATACGTTTTTTCAGTCGCGATCATGGGAGTTTGGCGTTAACGAAAAACGTCAATGTATTAAAGAAGTTTTGAAGAAAGAAAGGCAGTTATTGTGTTTGGTTTATTCGTTTAGACTGGACTTGTCTCATAGCGAAGAAAATAAGTTATTCATGTGTATCGGTTGTTTATTTATGATGGGCAGAAAAAAAGTAAGATTTACAAGAGTTTAACAGTGGTCGAGCCACGCGGCAGCTTTTGCTGTCGCACGGCTGGGCCGGCTCAAATCGGGGTGGTATCACGACCTCACAGAATTCCAGCGTGAAGTAGAGGTTTACTTCTGCGTTGCGCTTGGTGAGTGCAGGTGGCCGAAGGCCCAAGTTCCTCCACCTCATCAACATGGTAGTGGAATTAAATAAAAGACCCCAGGAGGGTACCAGCACCCCGAGAGAATCCCTCGCTGAGCATCCACGACCAAAGTGAGACTTCTGAGCGTGGGTGCTCAGGCTGCCCCGCGTATTCTGGGGGGGGGGGGGGGCAAAATTCCGCTCGTGACTAATGCTGCTCGGGGCAAGCGGAGCAATAAAACCAAGCCGACCGCTATCCGTGAATTTTTGCAACATCAGGGGACTTCATTCCAACCTTAACGCTGTCCATTACCATCTAGAGACGGCGAAGCCGGCCTTGCTCTTTTTAACCGAGACTCAGGTGTCCTCTCTGGCTGATACTTCATATCTCTCCTACCCGGGGTACAAATTGGAACACTCCTTTGTGCCCCGGGCTGGAGTTTGCGTATACGTCAGAGAGGACATGTGTTTTCGACGCCTCGGCAGTCTTGAAGGTACGGAGCTGTCCATCCTATGGCTGCGCGCAGACAGCGACGACCATCCCCGCGTCTACGGGTGCCTCTATAGGTCCCATAGCGGTAATGCCGACACAGACCGACTCATCGACCACCTCCAAATGGCTGCAGACTCCGTGCTACAACAGGTCCCATCCGCAGAGATCGTGATACTAGGTGATTTTAACGCCCACCACGCTGAATGGCTTGGTTCTCGTTTAACCGATCATGCGGGTAGATCTGTCTATGACTTTGCTTTGGCATATGGTCTAACACAACTGGTTACTTCGCCTACGCGGATCCCAGATGTGGAAGACCATGTACCTTCCCTGTTGGACCTTCTGCTGACCTCTCATCCGGACGGATATCAGGTCTCCGTCGATGCCCCTCTGGGCTCTTCGGACCATTGTCTGATCCGGTGTCTCACTCACGCTCCAATCGCAGTTGCGATCTGCAGCTTGCCGCCGTGTTTGTCACTATAGGTCAGCTGATTGGGACGGGATGCGGTCTTTTTTTGCATCGTACCCTTGGGGGCGGGTTTGCTTCTCGCCGGAAGATCCCAGCGTTGTTGCCGATTCTGTTGCTGATGTGGTACTTCAGGGTATGGCACTTTTTATTCCATCCTCTGTGGTGCCCACCGGAGGCAGATCCCAGCCATGGTTTGGTCGCTCCTGTAAAATAGCATCACGCTATAAGCAGGAGTGCTACCGGGCCTGGGCTGACGCATCAACGTCTCGGGATAAAAACACCAGCGCACTTAAAAAGAAGTATAATTCCGCCTCCAGGTCCTTCAAAACCGTCATTGCCAAGGCAAGGTCTGAGCACATCGGCAGAATTGGCGAGAAACTAGTTCGCCTTCCTTCGGGAACCCGTGCATTCTGGTCTCTCGCCAAGGCTGTCCAAGGGAACTTCTGTCAGCCATCTCTTTCATCTCTGCACAGAGAGGACGACTCACTGGCCCATGCCGCAAAGGAGAAAGCCGATCTGTTGAGCTCTCTTTTTGCGTCCAACTCGACTCTAGATGACGGGGGGAACACACCGCCGACCATCCCGCAATGTGAGTGCTCTATGCCGGATGTGCGGTTTACACAGCGCTCGGTTCGCAAAGCACTCTTCTCCCTGGACGTCAGCAAGTCGAGTGGGCCCGATGGAGTCCCTGCCATTGTGCTGAAGACGTGTGCTCCGGAGTTGGCACCGGTCTTAACGCGTCTTTTCCGATACTCCTACTCCCAAGGCGTAGTCCCGAATTCATGGAAGACAGCTTTGGTCCACCCGATCCCTAAAAAAGGCGACCGCTCAGACCCGTCCAACTACAGGCCTATTGCCATCACCTCCTTGTTCTCCAAAATAATGGAATCCATTATAAACTGCCAGCTCATGAGGTACATTGAGGATCACCAGCTGATTAGTGACCGCCAGTATGGTTTTCGTCGAGATCGACCAGCTGGTGATCTTCTAGTCTATCTGACTCATAGATGGGCGGAGGCAGTAGAGTCCAAGGGGGAGGCATTGGCCGTTAGTTTGTACATAGCGAAGGCCTTCGATCGGGTTTGGCACAAAGCGCTTCTTTCGAAGCTTCCTTCCTATGGGCTTCCCGAGAAATTGTGCAAGTGGATCACCAGTTTCCTTGCTGATCGGAGCATCAAGGTCATAGTAGACGGTGCATGCTCTGATTTCAAGCCTATCAACGCTGGTGTTCCACAAGGCTGCGTGCTATCACCAACGCTGTTTCTCCTGCATATCAATGATATGTTGCTAACTAGTAGTATTCATTGCTATGCGGACGACAGCACTGGTGATGCCTTATATACCGGCCGTGCCAATATTTCTCGGGAAAACGTCGCTGAGTACCGGAACAAACTTGTGTCTGAAGTCGAGTCTTTTCTTAACAAAGTCTCGGAATGTGGCCGACTAAATCTAGTCCAGTTCAATCCCCAGAAGACACAAGTTTGCGCGTTTACCGCTAAAAAGAACCCCTTTGTCGTATCTCCTCAGTTTCAAGGCACTCCCCTTGCTGCCTCAGCTAGTATCAGAATCCTTGGCGTCGACATATCGAATAGTGTGCAGTTTCGTGGTCACTTGGAAGGGAAGGCCAAATTGGCCTCTAAAAAGCTTGGCGTGCTCAGCAGAGCGAGACAGTATTTCATGCCGGCACATCGCTTGCAACTTTACAAAGCGCAAGTTCGGCCCCACATGGAATACTGTTCTCATCTCTGGACCGGGGCACCCCAGTGCCAGCTCCTTCAACTTGACCGCATCCAGCGCAGAGCGGTTCGAATCGTCGACGACCGAGTTCTTTCTGATCGGCTCGATACACTGGCACTGCGTAGAGATGTTGCATCTCTTTGCGTATTTTATCGCACTCACCGCACAGGAATTGTTCGGACTAATTCCAGCCGCTCAATTTCACCATCGCACATCGCGAAAAAATTCGCGTTACCATCCATACCATCTGGATGATTGGCGGTCCACCACTGTGCGATTTAGAAGAAGTTTTCTCCCTCGCACAACTTCCTTGTGGAATCAATTGCCACCAGCGAATTTTCCGGACCGATACGACTTAGGAACCTTCAAGAAAAGAGCTTACACCTTTCTAAAAGGCCGGCAACGGATCTGCAATTCCCCTGGTGTTGCGGTTGTTCATGGGTGGCGGTAGTCACTTACCATCAGGTGAGCCGCATGCTCGTTTGCCCCCTCTTCTATAAAAAAAAACATCAGTATTACATATTTTGTATTATTGGGATGAAATGGAATTATAAATTATCTCATATTGCCACCACATGGCAAAAAGAAAGAAATGGCACATACATTAAAAATAAAGAAAAACTCAAGCAAGACAGAAAAAATACTTTTCACCTTTACAAAAATATAAAAAGAAATAATATGCACCAAAATAGTCTCCCCTAAGCTTTAACTCACTAATTGAAGTTAGACATCAGTTTGTATTGCTTATTTTCAGTGGAGCAAGGAGTGTCAATTTTTCCAGACCAATATGACTTAGGAACCTTCAATAAAAGAGCTTACTTTTTCTAAAAGGTCGGCAAATCTCCTGGCGTTGCCGGTGTTCATGAGCAGCGGTAGTCACCATCAGGTGATATGCAAGTTCGTTCACTCCTCCTCTTTAAAAAAAGTGTGAGGTCGATTACAAACAACACAAAAGAAAAATATAACTGAAAACAATAAGAAAATGATCAAACTTAACATAATAAAATTCAATGTAGTAGTGTTAAGTGTCAATACTCTGTTACATACAGATATAACAAAATTGGAACATTTAAAATCAGAAAAAAAATTGTGTAAACGTGTGTGGGGGTGTGCATGCATGTGTGAGTAAGTGAGTGAGTGCATGCATGTATGTATGTATGTATGAATACTTGCCATTTATGTATGTTTGCCAGATTGGTGTACTGAAATCAGAAATTTTGTTAACAAAATTTTGAGAGGCAACTAATTTACAATTTCTGCTTGGTGGTGGTAGATCATTCCAGCATGTTTCATTACAAGATTCATTTGAGCCAGCAAAACGGAAAAGCAGCAGTGTGATGCTTCGGATATGTGAGTTGTAATGCTGTCCTAACCACACACTGCAAGAACATAAACTTTTGGAACAAGTATGATGGTTCCCTGGTATTTTACTATAAAAAGCAATGACGTAAGCTATGTCGAGAGGCTATACTCATAGTAGTGTCAATTTAAAATAAGAGCAACATGGGATTGCTAAGGGACTGTGAAGCAGAAGCGTGCACAGGCTTTTTGAACTCATTGAATTAATTTATGGCTCTAGCAAACAATCACCAATGAGTGCTTCACAAAACCTCATTTGCATGTCCACTGTCAAACACTATGAGCCGATTCAAGTATTTCAGCCTACAGAAATATTTCGTATGGTTTCTATGACCCTCAAAGCACATATCTCTATCTGTAACAAGCCCCAAGTTCCGATCTTTCAATACACATTCTAAAGGATTACCCTTGATGTCTATATGCGGATTTAGAAATAGTAAGTACGTCATTACTATGCATTTTCATAGAGATGCTTCAGCAATACCAGATACTTGCATGTATGGTTGCCACAGGCTGCATAAGGACTGGACCAACAGCAGTGTTACAAGGCTATGCTGGAGCTAAGCCTGCTTCATCTGCACATACAACAAGACCCGACTTTAGCTACCATCACACTCAAGACCCTAAATTTTTGGAGTAATAGTAGAAGTCCCTCATACAGGTATAATCAATAGAATTTACACCAAAATTCCTAGCCTACAAGCCAAATACGAGAAGATCCCCTAACAAATTGTGTTTGATAAGAGATATAACTTACAATTAAAGGAAACCATCTGGAGAGATTAAACTGAAAAGAACTTAAAATTTTCATGGATGTTTCTAAAACTAATGCAGGTGCAGGATCTGAAACTTTCTCAGAATAACTCAAATCCTCATATGTATGTCGCTGGGCACCCACAACACAGGCTTTCAGGCTAAATGTATGGGCATTATTGAAGCAGCCATAGCAATAGATGCCAGGAAGGTAAAGGACTTCTTCATCAGAATACTGACCTACAGCATGGTGGTACTACAAGCTCTGAGTTGCAATGTGGTGACCACAGGGCTAATATATGAATGTCATTAACAACTAAATGAGATATGTAAATACAATAATGTGACTCTACAAGGGATCAAGGGATACAGTGGATCCAGGGGCAATAATGCAGAAGACAAACTGGCCAGTGCAGGATAGGTTCTTGTCACCATTGGGCCGGAACCGATCATACCCTTTTGGTAATGTTCATTCACTGGTATGTAGGTACTTCACTAATCAACACACTCAGCTTTGAAAAAATCTAGAAGACTAGGCAAGCTAGGGAGGCCCTGCCAGCAATAAACAGTCATTTAACCAAGGTCTTAATGATATTACACAAACCACAAATCAGGAAAGCAAGAAGCACTATTACTAGACACGGCTCTTTTAACAAATATTTATATGTATATCAAAGGTGTTACAGACAGTCCCCAGAGCATGTATGAGGGAAGAGGAAAGGCGATCCACGTGTTGATGTCATGTCCAAAGATCGCTGCATACAGGGTTAAACATCTTAGCACTCCGAGATTACTCTGCTAAACTTCTCCGAGGAGATTTTATGGCTCGAATAATCGTGATATTCCTCTGCCCACGCGCAAAATAGCGCTTAGATGTGGAATTGCGGAAAATAGCCCGACGTAAACTAAACTAAACTATGCATTTCCAGTAACATAAATTTAGATTTAATAGAGTAGTAGTTAGAGTTTATTGGGGTTCATTTTATTTCATTCAGAAGATTATTTTCATTACACGAATCGGCTGTGTGGTTCAAATCTGAATTGATTTATCTTACTGCTAATGATGTCACAGGGTAGGGGATGGCAAATTTCTCTGTGTCTGCCTTTCAAAATCTGTGTAAATAAGGTTAAGATGTAAACAATAATAGAAAGCATTGTATAGTAACTTCAACTTGAAGAAATAATAAAAATAATCAACACAAAATTATTATTTTCAGATTTACGAGTACAGGGGGGCCCCAGCAGCCGGGGATCTTGTTGCAGGATACCCATCGGATTTGTTAAATGCTGATGCAGATGCACATCATGGAATACGCACACATATATTCTACAGGTTTTTTAAGGTTTGTGTTAACATCCAAATTTTTGTTTCTTTAAGCAAATGAAAATGTCAGGCTATCGTCATTGATAGTCGTCAGGATAAAATCTTACGTTCGTAAACTAGGTGCTCAAAATGTATATAGTATACAGAATTTAATCTTTTTCGATTTTAATAGTACTGAATTTTCAGCCAAAATTTACAGTTAATGTTTGCCAGCAAAGACTGATTTCATATCGCAACCCTGGACAGCTCCCATTCATTGAGCAACAACTAAATCGTGAGTGCAGCCTGTTTACTGAGGACGGCCGATATGTAATAGTGGGGTCGGCAGCTCATATCCCTGATGATCTTCGGCCTCACTTTTATCATATACACAGTAATAATGAAGCTGTTACACCAACAATCAGGTAACTGATTTATCTTTCTTTCTTTTCTATATGCCTTACATTGGTCGCTTCGCCTTATAAAAGTAAATATGCCTGTTTGTTAATATTTTTTGGCTTATGGACAAAGGGTTTCTTATCAAAATAACTATGTCTACACGCACTTTTCATCATTTTAAAAGGAAATTATACAGCTACAAAGTGTATTATATTATTAATGTCCTCCAGACAAAATTATGCTTGCGGTGGCCTGTCTTAACGGAGAGTAATCATCTGCACAGGACAAAATTAAGTGCATTTACTCTCATTGTTGGATGATACGACGCGACCTGCCTACAACGTATCTGCTACTGAGGATTTCTTGATAGAAAAACACAATAACTGATTTTGGCCAGACTCAGGATACGAACCTTGGACCACATTATCAGCCGTCACGCTTATGACTCCTCGACCAACGAGGCAAAAAAGCATTTTACAAATTATATAAACACACAACACACTTAGATATTGTTTTCTGATGTTAACGGGTTTCCTGAAAATCCAATTAATAAATCAAAAAATTTTTATTTTCTCTTTTTTAACATTACTCATACAAGGATTTACTCCTGTATCGTTAAGGTAGAGTTTACATACATAAATTTTACATGGGTGAGCATCCAGATCTGGGACAATTATTTTGTAGATTACAAATACTTGTTTTGTGCAGGATTAGAACCCGCGGCCATCATTTAAAATAAAATGCTAAGCCACTTCAACACGGAGCCGTCAAATTACATTATATTTATTACACATAATCGCAACTGTATATTATATTAAACTAAGACTATTATTATTTATTAAACAAATATAAATTACAGTTTTTGTCACTAACGGGGTACAGAGTTTACTAAAGCATTAATATCTGCTGTATGTTATGAGCCCCTACCTTTGCGACGATTTGCACGCTTGGCAGAGATGGGCGATCGCAACAGTAGACATTTGCTGTTCACCGTTGTATGATGAGTGGGCAGCATAAACGTCCGGTGATGGTGTAAGGAAATGGATATTCATCTCCTTACACTATCACCATTCTTTGGAAGCCATGATATCTTTCTGCCATTTTTCATAGTCATCAATGTATCTCTATAAGTATTCTATATTTTATTTTCAGATCAGCACTAGAAGATTATTCCCTTCACTTAGTAGATCTCCATCATGGGAAACTATGTGACACCAAGCACTTTAGAATTGACAAAATCTACCTATCGCACAACCAAGGAATTTATCTTTACAAAGAAGTTTTAGCGGTACTCTCTGTACAGCACCAAACAATCCACCTATTTCAAATAGTTGAGGGTATGTTAATAGAAATAAGAAAAATCGGCAGATTCTGCTACGACGACGATCCATTTATTGTAAGCTCGGTATTTGCACCGCATACAAACGAAAGACCGTTTCATGAAGAGACAATAAACAGTTTGAAACATAGACTACTTGTATTTCTTTTTAAAAGAGCTAAAACAATCAGTGATGAAACAAGAGATCCATTTGAACTGAGAAAGTTTTACAAGTACTTCGATATGTTTAAAAGTCTCAGAATGTGGAAAATGCAGCTGCTAGATGTAGACCATTTATTTATTAAATACGCAAGTGAAGAGGTTGTTACATTGAGGGTGGCTGAGCCCAACAGCCAGTCTTCGTTTTTTGTTATCTACAATATAAGTGAAAGTAAGATTTTAGAGGTATACGAAAATACGTCGGAGGCACTGCTGCAATTGTTTGAAAACTACTGTGACTGCTTTAGAAATGCCAGGTTATGTGCTGATTCACAATTTACTTGTTCACCGTCCAATAATTTATATGCAAGACTGACGCAGCAAAGATTCAAGCAAACGATTGTGAGAGCTATTTATGGCGGCCGAACAGAAGCAACTAAACGAATTTTGGCACAATTACCAATAAGTGCACAGTCATATAGTGGATCTCCTTATTTAGATTTAGGCCTTTTCAGTTACGACGACAAATGGGTATCAGTTATGGAAAGACCTAAAGCATATGGAGAGTATCCTATTAGGTATGTAAAATAACAGACTATAAACATTACAGAAGCGTCAAGTGCTTTTTCCGTTTTTCCTTACGATACTGATAGTAGTCAAGCACTGGCTTATAATAGTTAAAAAAAAGCGTAAAGCGGCTTCTATAGGTACTATGCGATTCAATATTGACCTGGCGCCATATTGTGACGTCATAACTGTCAATTCAAACCAGTTAGGTAGGATGAGCAAAACAGATATTTTTGAAATAATAATTATTTATAAAATAAAAAGTTTTAATCGAAATCTAGTCTAACACTTCAATAATTATTTTAATTTATTTGATTAATTATTTAATTTACTTTTTGGCGAAATGTTGCCAACAATGAAAAAAAACAGTTAAATTATTTTTAAAACTAATTATGAATTCAATAGATTTGGTAATAATAAAACTAAGTTAAATAAATGTAAAAGTGGAAAATTAATTTTCTTTGCAAGCCGTACTTTTCAAGTGACAGTTGACAAATCGTAGTCTTTCGAGGTCATTTACGTTCCTATTCTTAATTGAATCACATTGTAATAAAAGCGTTAACTCTTAGTGACACAACGGTAAGATCATTCTTATTTTATCCAAATTTATTTTTATTGTTTTTTGCTTCAGATTTTACGCACGTGACTCGGGGCTGCTGAAGTTCAAGATTTACGCCGGTGTGATGGGGCAGTCCGTGCCGGCGAGCGCACGAAGACTTGTCGCCTTCACATTCCACCCCACAGATCCATTCGCAATCAGCGTACAACGGACAAATTCCGACTACATTGTCAACTTTCATATAAGGAATGCAGTTTTCAGTTGATAATTTTACAAATTTGAGTTATATTTATAAATATTGTACAATACAATATGTGATATACCTACCTAAATTGTAACAACATTGTTGTATGTAAAGCTGTTGAATATGTATAAAGAGATATTATAATAAATGTTTATAATTTTAATGCTGTTTGCTTTTTCTGCCGACTTCAAAAAGGAGGAGGTACTCAATTCAACTGTATGCTCTTTTTTATGTGTGTTACCTCATAACTCTTTTCTGGGTGAACCGATTGCGATGATTCTTTTTTTTATTTGTAAGCTGGTGCTTCTCACATGGTCCCATATAAATTTGAACAAGGTCTGACTACTATTCTTAATAATTTATATTAGAGTCGGTTGTACAAAATTCTAAATTAATATAATATTATATATAAATATTTATATATAAATTTAAATTATTGTGATAACATGTTGCAATGGTATAGATGTGAATATCAGACTACTTACCTGTTACTGCTTACTTGCTAAACAACAAATATAATATGGTCTATTGTGAAAGCTTAGGTATTTCTTTCTGCTCATTCCGTTTTCATAGAGAAACTCTAAAATAACACTACAAATGGAATATAAACTGAAAAGAAAAAAACAGGTTATACAGAAAAATACAAAAGGAAAAGTTCATTCTGCTTAGCATTTTCTTAAAAATTATGTTTTTATTTTATCATTTGGGTCTGATCTTTGATGATGATGTATTCACGACAGATAGCATGGAAGTAGCCAACGTTTTTAAATAATTTTTATTTTTTTATAGGATAAGTGTGACAAACGAGCACATAGTCCACCCTATGGTAAGTGGTTGCCATGGCCCATAGACATGTACATCTATCCTCGATTACGAATCAAAACGCAGATGTGTTATCACCCGTGAGGATTAAGATGTAATGGCTCGTTTCCAGTAAAAAGGGTCTCCGGTTTTCTACACTCACCATACAAAACACAGCAGCATTAAGCTGATATTCTGTGAGAACGTGGTCCTTCCCCGCTCGCGCTGACCCAATCGTGCTACAACTATACCAGTAATATGGCTGCAGCATGGCTCTACCAGGTAAAAATGTCCTCCAGACTGCTCCAGACCGAGGTTAGATTACTGCAGCTGGTCTCGACGGAGGTTAGCCATCTGCGCAGGATAGGATATAATATGCAAACAAATGCAGTCTCATAGTGCGATGGTACGGTAATCCGACACGATCTGAAACACCGCCAGTTTCCTGATTCCGAGCTGCTACTGAAAATTTCTTGACAAAAAAACCCAGTAACTGATTTGGCCCGACCCGAGATTTGAACCCAAGATCTCAGAAACTGCGTTTGCGGCCACTGGACCACTGAGACAGTCAAGTGAAGGGGGGGGGGGTTAAGGACCGTGCTTTGGTAGTGGGGAAGGACTATATTCAGCTGTGGACTTGTGATCATATGATTTACTCCCAAAACAATTCGAATAGAAGAACAAAATGAAGTTACGCAAAGCGTTAGAGCTATTTTTCATTAAGCGATACCGATAACGGTTTTCTTCGTCATACCTATCCGTGTTTGTGGTGTGCTTTCTCATAAAGACGCAGAGCTATGACGACGTACCTAATAGTATCGATGAAATATCATCGAATATTTTTCAAACTTAATTCGACCCCTAGAACGTCCAGGGTACACCGGGCGTAGATAAAGTACGAGTACGTGATTCGTGAATGCGTCTACGAAAGAAGTCTCTTTAATATGGCCGAACCTAATTTACAATAGAGAAATTACTTTATCGCAAACTTTTAATTAAACCTTCATGGATGTACGTATCAAAGAGTATATACTAATCACTACGTTATTAAATATCTGACAGTGATATCTGAGGTATATGATCACTATAGATATCACTGCGATAAATCAAATCACTTGTCATTTGTAAGAAAAATGGACACCTTCGCGGTAGTAACAATAGTAAAATAAATACCTTCAAATATGACCCCTTCATATATTCCTTGTAATAATATCATACAGCAATAGATTATTCTTATCCAAACATGCAACGAAATCCATTTTATGGAACTGAATTGCAGAACCCGGCACCGTTTATACCATACCACTTCCGTAAGTATGGTTGTTTATCGATGACTTGCTATTTGAGTAAAATAGGTTGATTGAAAAAATGTTATTATTTATAAAACAGCATTTCGAAAAATTCCTATTTGTAGTTCATTTTACTATAATTTTAACTAGTTTTGAATTAAAACCCTACTGTTTCTTAATACATTACCACAGAATACATAATACAGGTACACTGCTGTGTGCCCCTAGCAATAATATTACCTAATAAGAATAAGTCTTATACGTGGTAGAGTCATGCTATAGTTATAATAGTTGTGGCACAAATAGGTTGGATCGACCGGGGAATGACCACGCTCTCACAGAATACCAAAGTGAAATAGCAGCTTTATGCTTCGTTTCGTATGGTCTAGTGTTGAGAACTTTGGACCCTTTTTACTGGAATCGAGGCAATCCATCTGAGTGCTCAGGAATGACAATGCATTTAGATTCTTAATCAAGAATAAATTAGATTTCAAATGGCCACAGTACCTATCTACTTTACTATCCAGGTGGACAGTGCGCTATAAAAAATGCTAAGAAGACTGAATAGCTCTAACCTTAACTTTTCTTATTACTGCCCTAGACGGAGGGTAATGATTTTCTAGTCTAAATATTACGGTTGATTTGTTTGTAAGTGCAAGTAAAAGGTGTCTTTATACCTTACTGTCTCCAGACTGTAATAGGCTAGTTAATAAACCGAAATCAGTGTAAGGAGCCCTAAATGCCAATCTCACTTGCGTGCGGTATATTCTGCTAATTATCGGACAATTCTCCTTTGGCTAGGTCTATATGGGAAGCAGCATTATCTACCTATGATCTATGGCCTATGGGGGGGTGTCGGCTCTTCGCTCACCACCTTTTCTGCGTACCTGGTGGTGGTATATGTAGGCTAACAATTCTTGGGGGCCCACCAAATTAATCAAACTAATGGCCGTTTTATCAAAAAACTATTGTCTATATTGATGTATCTTTTTTTGAAAATTAACTTTGTTGTCCTTATTTTAACTAAAACTTATGAAATATTCATAATATCATCATAATTATTTTTAAAGCTTTGTCTTCAATGACTGGGGGTCCTATATATCCATGGGGACCTGGCCTGCAGCCCAAAAAGCCCATATATAGATCCGCCCCTGAAGAAATCTTACAGATAACGCTTGCCAGCTGGCGCTTACATAGAAAGGCTGCAGTAGATCAGCAAGACTGTTTATGTAATATAGTAACTGTTTAAGCTAAAAAAGGTAATTTGTATGATATCCAATCACGTTCGACTTCGTGAGTCGCACGATGGTACCAGGTGTCACGCGCGTCGAGGTGAGGGGGAGCGGTAGGCAGCTTCCCAGCGTGTGACGCTCGTGGGCGAGGGAGTTGCTCGCTGGCCGCGATGCGGGGAACCCGCGTATCTCGATTATCGCGGCCGAAGTTCACGCGACCGTGTAGGGTCCAGATAGATTTTTAGGCGTGTTACTTCGCTACGTGGATATGTGAATTTTGCAATATTTAACTTGTTCGGGTGATGCGGAACTGTGCACGCGAGCGTCGAGTAGATATACGGTCTAGGATTCGAACCGCGCATTCCTTGGTCGAGAGCGTCTCCCGGTTGATTGTTTGGAAATCATTATAATTGTGCCGTCGCGTTAAGTGCTCTTTTTTGCGTGTTGTTCGGTTTGTTAGTTTACGTGTCAACGAGGCGTATTTTGAATTCTTTTCGCGACGTGGTGTTTTGGTGTCGAATGAAGGAACTTAGTTGTGTTTAACGCTGAACCGTATGACTCATTAAGAGATCGCGTTAGTTCCCTATTTATAATTTTGTGATAAGTGAATCCGGGACATTGAATGTCGAATTTTGAACTACTGTCCTTACTGTGTCGGGTATCACGTGTTCGATTCTACGATTAATGTGGAATGAGGCGAGTTTAAGTTAGTTAAATGTACAATGAAGCTAATAGACTGAAATAGTGACAATGAAGAAAGAAATGGTCCAGCGGTGGAGCCTGTTGGAGCGATGCAGCATTGTGGGGCAGCCTGGAACTCGGCCGCTGCTGGTCCAGGTCTCAGACATTTACACATCACTAAACACTACTTGCCATGCACCTCACACTCACTTACGGCCTGACCGAGCATTGGGGCGATCTAAGAGTCGAAAACAGGTATTTACTATATTTCCCTAGCCTTCTCCCATATAGCTTAGTATTATAGGACATTCTTCCATATGGCCTTTGGGCCCCGTCCCTCTGCTGCCCGTCGATGGGATTACTCATGGGCCCTAGTCCCGTCAACCTTTGTTGGGGCAGCTAGGGGCGTGTACATTATTTTTCGGCATTATTTAAAATAATTCGGCGTTTGCTTGATGTGTCACTATAGCATAAAATAAAAAGTCCACTGTTGAACACAGGCATTTCCCAAAGATATTGAATGTGTTTGCCATAGTCGTCACACTTTGCAGCGGAGTTAGAAACCGCAGCAGATACTTTTTATTTTGAATTGTTATTAGGAAAATGCTGCTGTCGCCTCTTTCACGCCGCCACTACTCGAAAGTTTATTCTGATTTATTAGTAGACTTCATCTGCGTGAATGTTTCTATTTTTAGAGATGTTAATTAATTACGAAAACTGGTGATAGAAAAAAATCCGGTTAAGTGCGAGTTGGACTCACGCATGAAGGGTTCCATACCATCGTAAAACACGTATCTAGTACAGGAGCCACCCTTATTTTTTTGCGGTAACAGAAATACACATTCCGTGAAAATTTCAAAGTGCTGACAAACAGACGGATAGACAGTGGAGGCTTAGTAATAGGGTCCCGTTGGTTACCTTTTGGGTACGTAACCCTAAAAAGTTGTGGAAGCCTTCATTAAGGCAAATCCTTTATAAAGAGTATAGTAAATCGTTTATACCGCAAGAAAGTCCCATA